ACCCCATAGGCACGGACCCAGACTGATCGCCCTGAGTCTTTCAGTGGGGTACATGATGGAAGCTAAGAATGATGGTCTCACTACGAGGGTGTGGGCCTTAAGGATCTTGTAAGACCAAAACTACAAAAAGTTCTCTTCCACAAGTGAGAAAGCCCACATAGGAATAATGCTAACACAAAAGAAAGCCAGACAAAAACTGTTTTAGAGAGAGTCCTAATGAGATTATTTTAATTCCCAGATCCAGCTGTGCCTACAGCCAATGCTCCCTCTGCATTTTTAGTTAAATAAACCAATAATTTTTTTCTATTTAAATTTAAGTGACCAGGAATCATTTATTCCTAATATGTATCATTTTCCAAGGCTGTAACTATGGTCCATTCAAGAATACTCTATTTAGCAGGGAGAACTCATTTTTATAAATAGGAATATTAATGGAATCAGTGCAATTAAGGCCATCATGTCGTTAAAACATAGTTACTAATGTTGCTACATTGCAGGTTTTTTCCTTCATAATACCTGAAGTTTTGGCGTGCCTCCAGGCCAAGTTTCTTTGAATTTTGTTCATTCAGATATAGTTGTGAGTCATTCCTTCTCAGGCTACGGTAACTTTTGTGGCACCTTTCATTATGTCGGGAGTCTGATCAATCTCTGCTTAACAGCTGATCAGTTATCTGAAGCTGTTTCCCTGGCTCAAGCCACTGTAGAATATTCATTTTAACATCCAAAATAATGTTTCTGTTTAGTATTCATACAGTAACTTTAACCTTAACCATTGTATACCTGTGATAAGGAGTTTTATCTGTAATGAAATTTCTTCCATGTTTAATGTAATCCAGTTTCTAGCTAATATTAGGCTTCAAAATCCCAAACCTCCTAGAAACTCTTATATGAGTAAGAATGTATCAGTTAGCCAGAGACTGGGGTCTTCACATTCCTATCATGTGCCCAAAGACCCAGATTTTTCTGCGTGCTAACATGACCATATCTCTGAGTACAAACTAGGGATACTATGTTGACAGAGAGAGAATATATTCAGGGTTATGTCATACAACACACCTGCCAAAACAACACACCTGGGGATACTGCCGGGGAACTATCAAATCAATACCCAATTCCTTACTAATACCTTGTTGGTTAAAACTTAATAATTCCTTATTTGAAATATACTAGTGGGTCATGACAATTTTTTGCTATTATAAATAATGCTGCAATGAGTACTTCTGCACACAAATCCTTGAGCACTTGTAAAATAATCTAATTTCTAGAAGTACAATTGCCAAGTAGGTACAGACAGATTACCTTCCCAAAACATTACATAAATTTGTATCTTGGCCCTGGCTGGTGTGGTTCAACGGACTGACTGAGCTCTAGCCTGTGAACCAAGAGGTTGCTGGTTCAATTCCCTGTCAGGACACATTCCTGGGTTTTGGGCCAGGTCCCCAGTAGGGGACAACTCAAGAAGTAACAACACATTGATATTTCTCTTCTTCTCCTTCTCTCTCTCTCTTCCCCTCTCTAAAAACAAACAAACAAACAAATAAAATAATAGCACTAAGCCCTGGACAGGTGGCTCAGTTTGTTCATTCCCAAGTTAGGGCACATGCCCAGGCTGTGAGTTCAGTCCCTAGTAGGGGTATGTTCGGGAGGCAGCTAATCAATGTTTCTCTCTCACATTGATGTCTCTCTCTCTCTCTGTTAAATCAATAAATATATCCTTGGATGAAAATTACAAATATTTTTTTAAATTATTTTAAACATTAATTCATTGTTCATTCATTCATGTATTTATTTATAGAGAGGGGAAGGGAGGGAAAAAGAGAGGGAGAGAAACATTGATGTGTGAGAGAAACACTGATCAGTTGCCTCTCACATGCCCCCAGCCAGGGACCTGGCCTGCAACCCAGGTATGTACCCTGACTGGGAATCAAACCCATAACCTTTTGCTTTTCCAGACGATGCCCAACCAATTGAGCCACACTGGTCAGGGATGGATGTATATGTATATGTATACATATATGTATACATATGTGTATATATGTGTGTATGTGTGTGTTTTTCTTTTGTAAGTACACCATGAAAACACTAACTGTAAGAGAGCTGGGATGGTTATGTTAAATATCAGACAAAGTAATGCCAGAGCTATAAAGGCACTTTATAATGATAACAGAATTAATTCATCAAGGAAATATAACAATCAAAAGTACCTATGCACCTAATAACAGAGCTTCGAAAGACATAAAGCAAAAAGCGGCATCTACCACGCACGGAGCTCACAGGATGGGAAGTTGCTCTGGGTGAGTCAGTGAGAGTAGTGAGTGAATGTGATGACTTGGGACATTAGCGTACACTACTGCAGATTTTATAAACACTGTACACTTAGGCTACACTAAACTTGGTAAAAAAATACAAGATTAAATCAAGCACCAGAGAAAATGATGCAATCAAAGGACACAGTGGCCCTGGCCAGTATGGCTCAGTTGGTTGGAGTGTTGTCCATAAACCAAAGCTCAGTGGTTTAATTCCTGGTCAGGACACAATCCCCGGTTGGGAGTGTATGAGAGGCAACCGACAGATGTTTCTCTCTCACATCAATGTTTCACTGCCTCTTTCTCTACCTCCCTTCTCCTCTCTCTAAATCAATAAGCATGTCCTCGGGTGAAGATTACAATAAAAAGAGAGACACACACAGTAAACCCAAGATCTATATGGCTGCTGCCTGCATAGCACAGCACACTCTTTGACAGCAAACTGTTTTTTTTAAAATAATTAGAAAGAGTACACTCTGAAATAATGATAGGCCCTGGATGGGTAGCTCAGTTGGTTAGAGCATCATCCCAGTATGTCAAGGTTGCAGGTTCTATCTATTCCCGGTCGGGGCAGATACAAGAATCAACCAATTAATGCATAAATAAGTAGAACAACAAATTGATATCTCTCTCATTCTCTCTCTCCCCCTTCCTCTTTTCCTAAAATCAATAAACAGATACTTGGGTGACAATTTCTTTAATTTTTTTAAAAGCAAGAATATGTATACATATTTAACAAAGAAAAAAATAAGTAGAAACTCTGGAAGGATGAACAAAAAAGTGGTTGTCAATTGGAGGTCAGGTGGCTGTTGGGAGACAGGAGACAAGGATGGAAGACGAACTATTTTAAAAATTGTCTTAAATTGATTAGAGAGAGAGAAACATCAATTTGTTGCCCCATTTCTTGATGTACTCATCGGTTGCTTCTTGTATGTTCTCTGACTGGACATGGAACCCACAACCGTGATGTACTGGAAGGATGCTTTAACCAACTAAGCTACCCAGCCAGGGCAACAAATTTTACATTGCATACTTTAAAATATTTTTTGAGTCTGGAGTCATAATAATACATTAAAAAATTAAAGTCTGTCTAATAAATGGGCAAAATATTAACCATCGGTCTCACATTTAGCCAGATGTAGGCTATAAATGAAAATTAAGATGTGATGACATTCTGCCCTGGCTGGTGGCTCAGTGGATTGAAAACCAGCCTGTGAGTCAAAGGGTCCCCAGTTAGATTCCCAATCAGGGCACATGCCTGGCTTGCGGGCCAGGTGCCCAGCAGGGGGGAGGGGGGAGGGGAGGGAAGGGGTGTGTGCGAGAGGCACCCACACATTGATGTTTCTCTCCCTTTCTCCCTCCTTTCCCCTCTGTTTAAAAATGGATGAATAAATTCTTTTAAAAAAGATATGATGCTATTCTGAGTAATGATATTCTGTCTTTAGTTAAATCAAGATTTACATGCTACATGAACAAGTGACATGTTAATACTCTACTATGGAAAGTCAAGAGGTTAGACTTCTTGGGAAAGAGAATACCAAGCAAGCTACTTCCAAGTGACAAAACAGCTACTCTACCCAAGTGTCAGTCTGGTTAATGGTCTGAACCTGGTGATTATGGCAGGAATGGAAAGAAATGATACAAAAGATTTGTATGGGAAATAAATTCATGAGTCTTAATGGCTGACTGGCTATGGAAGGCTAAAGGGACACAGTGATTTTCTTTAAAGATTTTATTTATTTACCTTAGATAAAGGGGAAAGTAGAGAGAAAGAGGGCAAGAAACATTTGTGTAAAAGAGAAACATTGGTCAGCTGTCTTTCCCATGTACCCCAACCAGGGACCAGGCCCACAGCCCACGCATCTGCCTGGACCAGGAATCAAATCAGCGAACTTTCACTTCATGGGACAACGCCCAACCAACTGAGCCACGCTGGTCAGGGCAAGACACAGTGATTTTTAAAACCTAGGTGTTTAGTAGTATCCCTAACAGAAATTAGAAAGACAGGAGAAAAAACTGGTTCAGAGGCATGACTTTGGTTCGAAATACACTGTGTCTGAGGAGAGTGAGAAATCGGGTAAAGTTGGCCAGAGGGCCACCGAAAATGCTGATCTGACATTCACAGAGAAAGTCAGACTTCAAGATAGAGATGTGGGAGATATCTGCGAATAGAGTGAAGGGGCCCCGAGGAAACAGGGGCTGAGGTGGTAGTCTTATTACCCCTATTTTACAGAAAAGGGTATTAACCCAGACAGCGACTCCCAAGCTATAGGCTGTAACCACTGAGCTACACTCCTTTACCACTGAGGGCGGGGGCGGGGGCAGTGGGAGATCAGAGTGCTGACAGTTGTTCTCCCACTGCATCAGCTGTATGTCCATGGACAAGCAACTTCACCTTTCTAGGCTTATTTCCTTCTCTGCAAATTGAGGGGACTGACCTAGACACTCTCCAGCCCCATGTGATATGAGTCTTTGATTAAGGTGGAATGGAAGACACGACAGAGGCAATGAATTAAAAACTTAGCAGTAAGCAAACAGGGAGACCTGGCCAAGAAGATCCAAATGTTGAATGTTTTATACACTGAATTTTCAAGCAATAAATCCATTCTCTGATTCATAAAATCTACAACTGCAAAGTCATACTTTTTCTCTATTTAAGTTAGGCATAATATCAAGAATTAAAATTTTTCCTACCTGGAAATTTACAAATGCTGCTCGTGAAATCCTGCTAAGTCAACTGAATAGCGTAAAAAAGGGAAGATTTCAAGTCAAACACAGTCTCTGTGTGAAGGATTGCCCTGCAGAGAGAAAATAATTACTTATAATGTATTTTTGTAATGAGACATAAACATCTGCTAAGATATATAATAAATATTTATTTAAATAAATTATGTAGGAGCATCTATCAGATATCATTTTTAACATGTAAAAATAGATAATCTGGCACAAATTATTAATGAGTAGAAATTTATTTATTACCTGAACCTGAATATATAAATCTGTAAAGTTTCTAATATTACAATATATTATGGCAAATTGAAAGCAAACACACTTTTTTTTAAGTGATTTTTTTAAAGATTTTATTTATTTATCTTTAGAGGGAAGGGAAGGAGAGAGGGGGAGAAATATCAATGTGTGGTTGCCTCTCATGCGTCTCCTGCTGGGAAGTAGCCTGCAACCCAGGTATGTGCCCTGACTGGGAATCGAACCATGATCCTTTGGTTCACGGGCCCGCGCTCAATCCACTGAGCTACACCAGCCAGAGCATAAACACACTTTTTAACTCTGACAATAAAACAAACTTCTGAAGAAAACATCTAGTCAAAGGCAGGCCAGCGGATGAGATACCAAGACAGCAACTTGTCCCTTTTGCTGCACATGACACAGATATGATTTGCAAGAAAACCAAACAGAAAGCATTCAAGATTCAACTTGAAAAATTCAACTTAAAAACTGTATGGTTAAGAGGGAAGTGGGGGGAAATGCTACAACCAAGGTTCGGAAAGTCCCACTGCAGTCACCCAGATCTTTTATACAACTCTTACCGACCTGCCCAAGTATGCCAGAGCACACCACAACTTCTAACAGCAGCTCTGACAACTCTGGCTACAAGAATGCTGCAGTTTTGCCCTGGCTGGTGTGGTTCAGTGGACTGAGGGCCAGCCTGCAAACCGAAAGGTTGCAGGTTCAATTCCCAGTCTGGGTTGTGGCCCAGGTCCCCAGGTGGGGGCATTTGAGATGCAACCTATCGATGTTTCTTTTTCTCCCTCCCTTCCTCTCCCTTGAAAAATAAATAAATAATATCTATATATATCTCTCTATCTATCTATCTATCTAACAGTTTCAGTTTCTACTGTATTCCAGACCGTTTCAATTACCACTCTAACAAAAACAAAATCTGTTCCACTAGTTTCTTCATTGACTATGAATTTTATTAATGTAGAGTGGTAAGACTCTATGTCCATAGGCAGTGGAAAAATGAATTTGATGCTTTTTAAACCAAGCCATTAAGCTGTCTAATGCCATACCACCCAGAACACGCCCAATCTCATATAATCTCAGAAGCTAAGCAGGGTCGGGCCTGGTTAGTACTTGGAGGGGAGACCAAACAATTAAGCTAAGAATTCCCGTCAAAATAATTTTGACTAAATCAATGAAATATTTTTTAACATAATATTTGTTTTTTCTGATTACACAAGTATTATATACTTACAGAAAATTTAGAATATACAAGCAAGTATAAAGAAAATAACATACGCATCAAGTACCCACTCATAAGGAGGTCTGAATTCTGGAAATTTAAACCATCCCAAACACTGCTGACCTAGAGGTTTACAAAACATTTTTTTGTTACATCAAACTAAAAAGTTTTTGCACAGCAAAGGAAACCATCAACAAAATGAAAAGGCAACCTACTGAATGGGAGAACATACTGGCCAATGATATATCTGATAAAGGCTTAATGTCCAAAATTTATAAAGAACTTACGAAACTCAACACCAAAAATGAGAAACCAATCCAATTAAAAAATGGGCAAAGGACCTGAATTGGCTCTTCGCTGAAGAGAACACACAGGTGGCCAATAAACATATGAAAAGATTATCAATGGCACTAATCATTAGAGAAATGCAAATTAAAACCACAATGAGATATCATCTCACACCTTTCAGAATGGCTGTCATCAATAAATCAATATCAATAAACAAGTTCTAGCGAGGATGTGGAGAACAAGGAACACTCTTGCACAATTGGTGATTAACAGATTGGTGCAGCCACTGTGGCAAGCAGTATGGACATACCTCAAAAAATTAAAAACACAATTGCCTTATGACCCAGTGATTCCACTCTGGGAATAAAACCAAATAAGCCCAAGACACTAATTTGGAAGAATATATGCACCCCTATGTTCACTGCAGCATTATTTACAACAGCCAAGATTTGGAAGCAGCACAAGTGCTCATCAGTAGATGAGTGGAGAAAAAGCTGTGGAATATTGATGCAATGGGCTACTATGCAGCTGTAAAAAAAAAAAAAAAAAATTCTACCTTTTGCAACAGCATGGAAGGACCTGAAAGAGTATTATGCTAAGTGAAATACTAGCCAGTCAGAGAAAGACAAATTCCATGTGATATCACTTATGTGTGGAATTTAATGAACAAAATAAACAAAACAGAAACAGACTCATAGATACAGAGAACAGAATGACAGCTGTCAGAGGTGAGTAGGGTTGGAGGGCTGGGTAAAGGTGAGGAGACTGAGCAAAAAAGAAAAAAAAAAACCCTCACAGACACAGACAACAGTATGGTGATTACCAGAGGGAAAGGGCGTGGGGGAAAATTGGTGATAAAAGGAGACTTGACCTGGGGTAGTGAACACATGATACAATATACGGATAATATATTATAGAACTGTACACCTGAAACCTATATAATTTTTAATCAATTGTCACCCCAATGAATTTACATTAAAGTTTTTTTTAAACAATTTTTTTAGCCATGGCTGGTGTAGCTCAGTGGATTGAGCACAGGCCTGCAAACCAAAGGATCACCGGGTTTGATTCCCAGTCAAGGCACACGCCTGGGCACATGTGGAGAACAAGGAACACTCTTGCACAATTGGTGATAATACAGATTGGTGCAGCCACTGTGGCAAGCAATACGGACATACCTCAAAAAATTAAAAACACAACTGCCTTATGATTCCACTCTGGGAATATAACCAAATAAGCCCAAGACACTAATTTCGAAGAATATATGCACCCCTATGTTCTTTGCAGCATTATTTACAACAGCCAAGATTTGGAAGCAGCACAAGTGCCCATCAGTAGATGAGTGGAGAAAAAGCTGTGGAATATTGATGCAATGGGCTACTATGCAGCTGTAAAAAAAAAAAGGAAATTCTACTGGGAAATTCTTACTGGGACCTGGGACCTCCAGGCCAGGTCCCAGTAAGGGGCACTCAAAAGGCAACCACACAATGATGTTTCTCCCCCTTTCTTTCTCCTTCCCTTCCTCTCTCTCTAAAAAATAAATAAACAAAATCTTTAAAGAAAAACTCATCGTTAAAACAGTGAGTTCAAATTGAGGGCTGAACTAGGATTTTGTAGTTGGGGGAACAAAATTAGTAACTTTTAAAAACAACTCCTTGCTACACCAAACACTCATCTACCTCCTAGCCTCAGTGAGCTAGGAAGGCACTCAGCAAAGGGTATTTACTCTGATAGCTTCAGAGTCACTATTTCAACAATGCTACTTAAGAGCACACTAATTAGACTTCCGGCCAAGGTGGAGGCATAGGTGGAAACACTGTACCTCCTTGCACAACAAAATTTAAGGACAACAAAGATTTAGAAACAAAAACACAACCAGAATAAACAGAAAATTGAACTGTACTGAAGTCCAACAACAACGAACCATTCATCCACACCTGTAAGAGGGGCAGCAACCGGCAGAGAGGGGTCCCAGCAGGAAAAGGCAGTGGTTGGTGGACCGGGAATGGGGAGGAAACCAGCAAACCCAGTAAGGCGCCCAAGATGGTTGGCTGACCAAGGACACACACTTGTGCACAGATAAACCAGGCAAAAAATGGGCAGTGAGACAATCCGTGCAACCCAGAGCCCCAGCGACAGGAAATAAAGCCTAAAAGCACCGAATGAAAAAACTTGTGGGGGTTGAGGTGCTGGGAGAGACTTCCAGCCTCACAGGAGAGTTCGTTGGAGAGACCCACGGGGCCCTACAAAGTACACAAGCCCACCCACCTGGGAACCAGCACCAGAAGAGCCCAATTTGCTTGTGGGAAGCGGCAGTGGGGACCAATATCTGGTGGGGAAACAAGCACCATTGCTCCCTCTGACTCTGCCCCCACATACAGTCACAACCCACACTGTGGGTTGCCCCACCCTAGTGAACACCTAAGATTCTGCCCCTCATACATAACAGGCTTGACCTGACCAAAATGGCTCAATCAGAAGAACAAATCAAAGTCCCAGAGCCAATACTTTTAAGCAACCAAGAGATAGCCAGCCTATCAGATGCACAGTTCAAAACACTGGTGATCAGGATGCTCACAAAACTGGTTGATTTTAGTCACAAATAAGATGAAAAAATGAAGGCTACACTAAGTGAAATGAAGGGAAATGCAAAGAGAACCAATAGTGATGGGAAGGAAACTGGGACTCAAATCAATGGAGTGGACCAGAAGGAAGAAAAAAAAACAAACAGAAAAGAATGAAGAAACAAGAATTCAAAAAAATGAGGAGAGGCTTAGGAACCTCCAGGACATCTTTAAATGTTCCAACATCCGAATTATAGGGGTATCAGAAGGGGAAGAGGAACAGCCACGAGTGGAAAACTTATTTGAACAAGTAATAAAGGAAAACTTCCCCAATCTGGCAAAGGAAATAGACTTCCAGGAAGTCCAGGAAGCTCAGAGAGTACCAAAGAAGGTGGACCCAAGGAGGAACACACCAAGGCACATCATGATTACATTAGCCAAGATTAAAATGAAGGAAAGAATTCTAGAAGCAGCAAGAGATAAGGGGACAGTCACCTACAAAGGAGTTCCCATCAGACTGTCAGCTGCTTTCTCAAAAGAGACCTTACAGGCAAGAAGGGGCTAGAAAGAAGTATTCCAAGTCATGAAAGGCAAGGACCTACATCCAAGATTGCTCTATCCAGCAAAGCTTTCATTTAGAATGGAAGGGCAGATAAAGCACTTCTCAGAGAAGGTCAAGTTCAAAAAGTTCATCATCACCAAGCCCTTATTATATGAAATGTTACAGGGACTTATCTAAGAAAAA